TTTCCTATTCCTGTATTTTACCTCAATTGCTCTATTATTTCAAGCAGATATGCTAATAATTTTTTTTTTTAAATTACATTTTCATTTATTCAGTTTAGAGCCTGCTTTTTTACTTAGAGGGCACTCAAGGCAACTAACAATAAAAAATAGAACACAAACAGTTAAAATCTGATTTTAAACAAACCTAGAGTTGGACATTCATGAATTGAAGTTAACAGTGACAAGGAAACATGGTGCAAGAGAAAGCAAATTGCATCAATATTTTGAGCACAAGAGTAATTGCAGAAGAATCCATGAACAATACTACTGACGTTTTCCCTACCCTGGCCACACTGGCTTTATGTGGTAAAATAACGGGGCCCCAATAAGTTCAGTGGGTGCCCATTACGGATAGACTTTATTTCTGTATTAAGGAAATCATGTCATTTTATGATTTTGGAGGCAATATTCTTCCTCACATAGGTGGGGAAGGTGTCGATGTTAAGCATCAGAAAGCCCCCTTCCCTTCTCATAGCATGCCCTGAACTATTACAATAGATTGGTTTAGGAATAGGCTGCAGTTGCACACAACTTTTATTTTTGTTCACTGCTGTCTCTGTGCAACTGAGACACTGACCATATGCAGCAAGCACGGTGGCATAAGAAGCTGTGCATATCTCTCTTCCTGCTGTAACCTTAACGTACCTGATATCAAAACCCAGACACTGAGGCCAGTGAAGAGGAGAGCGGCAGGGTCTTGTACATGATTTAATGTATTTCTCTTATGAGCATTATAGCTACATGGAAAAGGATAGTAACCACCCAAACTATTTTTATTCTAGGCATTTGTATCTCATTTCCTACTAAGAAGTACTATTTGATAGACATGTCTTACAAACAGGAAGAAGATATTGGACCTCTTGTCATTCAGACTGCAGTGTATTTTTGGATACATTTTGGAATGTGTTACATTTGACAGCCAAATATATCAAACATTTTAAGAGCACACTGAGTTGATCTAGCAGTGATACTACTATCATTTTCTAGCTTCTGAGCATATAGAGGCAGTGTCTTTGCTTAAGCAGTAGCAAACATTTACAGAACATATTAATTTTGACCAAGGAAATCTTTTGGGATGCCAAGAGAATTCTAAAAAAATATTACTGCATTTTGTTTTTGTTTTTGTACTACCCTTCATTTTGAGAAATTGTCAATTAAATCATCTCAATTGTGTGTAATTTTAACTGAAACAAATGAGGTTCTATCTTATTTTCAGAATATGAAAATAATCTGCCATGTAAAATTGACCTTGTATTTTTAAGTTAAAGATAAATTTGATCTTCCAGCTTATTCACAAACAGCTGAACAGATGTTTTCAACAAACAGATTGAGCATACAATTTTTGCAACTACATATCTTTCTATGTCAGTACCTAATACAGGTAGTCCTTGTTTACTGACTGCCTCATTTAGTGACTGTTCACAGTTATGATAGTGATGAAAAAGTAACTTTATGACTAATTCTCGCATTTATGACCTTCACAGATCTGTAAAGCAACGGAAAGCTGAAGTTAAGATCATAAGCACAGTAATGGTTTCACTTAGCAATTGCTTTCCTTTAATGACTGAGTTTCCAGTCCCAATTGTGGCCACTAAATGAGGACTACCTGTACATTTTCTGCAGTAGTGCAAAAACTTACTAGGGCAAGAGAAAGTCTAGACAAGGGCTGATACTTCAAAAGAGACATACAGTGAGATCCTCTCCTGATACCTTGAAGCCTTGTTTCTGAATTTTAGTGGCTCCCATTAAATAGATGTCCTTCTCTAGCCTGTTTTCAGTGGTGTTGGTTCCAAAGCTACAAAGATCAATAGATGCTCTCACCTCAACCATGCATCCAGACATCAGTTTTAATGTGTGCTTGTGCCATCATTGTTTTGAGAAGCTGGGAGTACCATATTCAAGCTTCCATTATATGCATGCTCATAGTGAATTTTTTGTTTGAGGGACATTATATAACATACAGTCAGGTCCAGAAATATTGGGACATCGACACAATTCTAACATCTTTGGCTCTATACACCACCACAATGGA